TTGAGGGAATTTGGGTTGAGCTGAATTGGAATGGAAGAGCTCTCAGGGTGTGCAACCGAAGTGGGTTTGGGGTCGGGCTCAAGATCCTACGGTTCAGATTGCTTGAAGAGGAATTGACTACTGTTGACAAAATGATGTCCTCACAGGCTGGAGTTTTGGCTGTTTTGGACTTCGGGCTGCTTATTCGTTCATCCTTTTGTCTTCCACTTTGTATTAATCAAAAAAGTTCAAATGACAAATAGGTTATTCTAATTATATCAAAATACCATATCTCAAAATATCCTCCGTCTATTCTTTTTTCTTAGGAATTTTGGAGGATGATTTGTCCAAACCATTTTTTTCTTTTCACATTTTATAATATTTTTAAATAAAATGTATTACATTATTTTATGCTCCAAACTTTTAGGAAAAATTAAAATTTTTCAATAATCATCAATAAATTTTCAAAACTTAAAGATAACCCAAATATATAGAAATTGTTACTTTTGTTATCAATTAACTAGATATTGTTACTTTGTTAATAAATAATTTAAAAATGTTGGATATTTTAAAAATAATATTCACAATTTTTAAAAAAATATTTATTTTGGAAAAGTTTTAAAATTTTATGTTTATATATTTATGAGGCAACATTTTGTAATTATGTGATAATGTATAGATATTGTATTCTATTGGTACAACAAATATAAACTTATTACCATTAAACTTAACTGTTCTTTTTAGAGTGAAAAGGATGGGTTTCATTAACCACCAAAAAAATTGATCAGAACAGTACAAACTCTTCCAAACAAAAGCTCTAGGAGGAAGTGACCGATCCGCTCAAAGTTGAAGGACCCTAATCATACATTAAAAATGAAGATAAAAGCCACAATGGACCTAAAATTGGAATCAAACAAGCTCTTGCTTAGCTCATTTTTCAACCATCCCTTGGAAGGGCATGCTTATCAGAATCAGAAGATTTGTAATTCATGTTAATCACAAAAAAATGCAACATTAGGAGAAGCCAGCAACATCTAAGTCTGATTTTAGTAAAACAAATTACTGAACAAAAAGAATCCCATAAAAGCAGGGAGGGTAAGGCAAAATCCAAATTTCATTCTTTCACATGTTTTTGTTTAAAGGAAGAGTAGCAATTCTTTGCTAAAGTAGAGCTAAAAAGAGTCTAAAAAGTTTCCATGCATTCATTTGGTTAAGGTCAGACGACCTTTATCAGCAGCAAATTCAAGAGCGGGGCCAGCTTCATGGACCACAGGACTAAGCAACTAGTCCCTGTAATTCTGCTATGGAGTAGAGCAAAAAATTCCCTGAAGTTTGAACTCTGTATTAACATTCCAAAAGCTGGTTTGGCTGACTAGTCACAGCCAAACTTCACTTGTAGCTAATAGGTACTAGGCTTCAGGTGCCATCATAACAGCACTCTCGGGAGCAATCTGGTCGGGATTTTGTTGAATACTGGAGACTCAAACCAGACGCTGCTGGTGCTGCTTGGCAAATTTGTGGAGGCATGTAGGCCTCTGCTGCAGGATGTGAACCTTGTGGGCTATGAACAGGTTCTTGATTGCCTTGCGCAAGCAACATTGTTTGCGCTATTGGGTTGGGGGAATAAAGAACTTCAATTCCCACAGGCCCAAATCGTTTAAGCTTAGTAGTGTGTTTTTTCCCAGAAAGATGGCGGTCAACAAACCCCTTCAGTATCACACGTCACATTGCCAGGTCACAGATGAGAGGAATTACAGCCTTTCTGTTGCGAGGTCCATCTTTCGGCCTTGAAGCTTCTAAAGTTTTCATGCACTTCCCTCCCTGACCACCTCGCATCTTCCTCTTCATTCCATGCCTCTGGCTGTCAGAACACTCAATCGGAGGAGTTTCTTCCACAGTGGCTACAGTATGTTTCTCTCCGGTTATTTGTTGTTTTGGTTCCACATAAATTTCATTACCAACAGATCCTGCCAATAAATTTTCTATTGGCTTTTCTCCTCACCTTCTTGGGCACTGTCGGCTGCTGAGATCCTTTATTCTCAGGCTTGGCTGCAAGTTTCTTTCCATTCTGTTTTTCTATCCCAGGTTTGAAACCACTCTTTGACTCTTCAGTTTTCTGCAGGTTCGTTTTATGCCTCTTGCCATTCTTGTGTTGCTCAAGGATTTCCAAACTGGTGCACTCAACCCTGCAAAGCTCACACCATGCACCCTGTGGTGGTCGCCTGCTTGAAGGAGCCTTCTCCACTGCTGGTGTAGACGGAGATGCCTTAGGAGGCACTGCAGTTTGAGCTGTTTCTTTAGGTAAAACAGCCAAGGGTTCCACTTCAACTGTAGATTTTATATTCTCAGTGGAAGGCTCTTGCTGTGAGGCTGATGATGCTCCTTGTTGTTGAAAGCATTGAGGACCACCTCTGCCTCCATCACGTCCTGTTCCACGGTCACCAGTATTGGGAAGGCGGTGGCCGTTATATCCCCTGCCATGACCTCTGAAGGATCTACTGCCTTTTCTACCACCACTATTATATGGAGACCCACCAGGCTGCAAAACAGGCTCTAAAAGTTTTCAAGAAAGAAGGATAAATAGTGGTGAAAATCAGGGAAAAAGCAACCCATGCAAACCAAGATTAACTACCGATGTGATCAGCATAAATGCTATTGGATATGATTAAGTAAGAAAGCATAAATTTCTTCATGTCTTAACTAGTCGCTTGATCGAACATGAATAAAAAGGGGGCAAGAGTCCTAGAGCTTTAGGAGCACCTTCTGATGGAATTCCAAAATAAATGGTTCTCAGAAAGTAAAGTAGCGGATGAATGACAGTGGTGATTTAACTTCTGTGAATTCATAAAAAAAATATCTGTCAAAGAAAGGTCCTCATGGTCTATCCCTCACAACAATTCAACCTCCCTAAGCTCTACCACGATATTTGTATAAATGACTTCCTAACCTGCTGAATGCTGATATTCACCAGTACTGAACTTTTTTGACCTTCATGAGAGAAAATTCTGCAATAAGAATTTTTCTTCCAATAGTGCATTTGAAATTCACTGATTTTAGTTTACTAAGAGAGAAAAGGCTAGAATTGAAATTCACTGACATTTGACATAACTATAAGAACACAAATTTATATATTTCCAGTGGCAAACTGTGAAGCTCAAACTCAAACTTTGCCCCAGAATTCAAAGTTGACTTCTAACTTGAAAAGTAACAAGACAAATGTTGAATCCACAATTTCATAATCAGGTTGAAAAACATCCTGAATTATCAACCCCACCCAGTATGATACCAGCAATCATGCAACTTTGCTAGAATAGCATACCCCTGACGGGATCCACAAAGTTTCAGACCATTTTTAATCACCATTGCAGTTGCTAGATACAAAACAAGGAAACCAAATAGTACATACCAGTTCATTCCAAAGCCAAAGAGAACTCAAGAGATAAATAGCCTTCATCGACTGACAGCACAGTGGCTTCAAATTCTCCTATTTGGCAAATGACATGACTAAGCCACTACATTCTCCTACTGTTTGACATTCTCCCCAAATTCAAAAGAATTGAAGGCAACTATGTGACGGATTAAAAGAAAAGGTCACAAGTAGGTTATCAGACAAGCAAGCCTTACGTTAAAGGGGCTCAAGCTCATAATTGGCTTGTTAGACTTGGCAAAAACCAAAGCACACCCTACATTATTGAGTACGAAGTAAATGGTTGCAAGATAGTTTAGTTCTGTCCATTAGTTAGTCTCTCATATATCAAAAGCAGAACCCCGAGCTTATCGATCTAAGGAATGCAAAAACATAAAAGCTTTTAGCCAAACTAAGTGTAAACCAACACTTTTACACCCTAAGTATGCTCACCATAAATTAACACCTACAATTGAGCATGTCCTCCAGAGCAATTCAACTCCACACTATGAGCAGTTAAGTTTAAAAAAGAAATTGGGGTATAGGAAGATTTCAACTAACTAAAGGTGCAGCCGTACTTAGCAAGGCCAAACGTTGATCAAGGTTGATGAAGTTAAGAACTTTATGCTAGCATTCAAAACTGAAAACAGAACTGCCATGGCTTGTAAACTTGATTGCTTACTTTACAGTTTGCAATTGAATACTTCTCTTTTTTACTTACGACTCTAATACAACACCCGATACAGTGTAAAGTTAGAAGCGAAGACGAAATTACCAAGGAAGCTGCCACAATAAATTTTACGGCAGATGAAAAATTATTAAGGAAATCAAGTTCATGAAATTAAAAAAACAGCTGGAAAAATCTAAAGAATAAAACCAGAAATCGAAGAGCAATTAATGAAAAAATATCAATAACCGTCCCGGCGGCGAAGGTTCTAAAGTCGGTCCAAGGTGCAGCAGTGCCGCCCCAAAGTTGTCTGTAATGCACTGCCCTCGAATTGTGTCAGCTGCGACAGGGCAGCCATTGTCTCCGCGGCCAACAGGTTCTGTCCCACCTGAGCCATTCCCCCACCAGAATCCGCAATTTGCGGGGCGGCATTAACCGAAACTACCGTCGGGGGCACTTGATGATAGGCGTAACCAGGAGGACAATTATGGGCATAAGGTTGTTGCTGTTGCTGGCTTCGTTGGTAGTAATAAAGAGCTTGGGTTGATTGGTAACTGAATTGTTCATGATCATGTGTCCCCAGCTGTCGCTGTGGTTCTGGAAGAAAGGAGGAGAGGCCCATGGAGAGTGTATGGAGTGGCGCCTATGGGAAAAGTTAAGGTTTTGGTGATAGCATAGTTGCTTTGGAGGCAAGTTTCCGGATTTGGGAATGAAGAAAAGCAGAAATGCAGAACAGAGAGGGAGATGGGAAGGCCAACGACAGGATAATTACGGTACAGCTACTACTCCCTACTTAGCGTGATGACTGCTTTGGTGCTGACAAGCGGAACTCTTCTCTTTCGCATGCTGTGATGAACGTACGTTTAGACAGTTTCTTTGTTTGAGGACTTTCTAGCCCTCCCCTTATCCTTTTTCTATCTTAATCAGTTATATTCAGTTTATATGCCCAATTGATTTACTTGATGTTACTCCATAGTACAAATGGCGAATACTTAATTTTGAAAGTATTTTTCAATTTAATAATTATATTTTATTTAAAATCGATTAATAATATCTTATTAAAAAATGAATTTATCTTCTTGGTGCCATGAACCTAGAACAATTCCGAAGAGGATTTGATGTTTTTTTTTATGGGTGACTAATTTTACCATATTTCAAAAAAAATGAATTTATTTATTTAATTAAAATTTATATAAGCACCGTTACAAAACTCAATTCAATCTAAATTTAATAACAAAAAAAAATTTTGATCATTTTTATGTATATTTTATTATTTAAATTAAATTAATAAATCAAAAGGAATAGTCTATTTCGATTATATTAATGTAAATAAGTAATATATCATTTTTATGTAATACATATATTAAAAATTAAATATTTATAATCAAATTTAAATAATAAATATCTTAAAATTATTACTTATTCCTTATCCTAATCCGTTTATAAAATATTTTAATCTTATTTAAATATCAAACACCTCTTTATCTATTATTGATTATATAATCTTTACTTAGTTAGTAAGTATAAATAAGATAAGATTAATTATAAATTCAAATTTTATTATAAAATTAATTAATTAAAATAAAGTTTATATTTTTAATTGACTAATTTTGAAAATATTATATCATAATTGACTCATTTTTAGCCTTTTATTTTTCTTAATTTTTTGTAATTTTGTGTTTGTCTAGTTTACTTTTATGGCAAAAAAAAAAAAACGCTTTTCTGGTATGTTTAGTTGAAAAAGAAAAACGAATAAAAAAAAACGGTGAAGAAAAAGAATACGTTAAAAGCACACCAGCAAACAAACAGCCCACTCCAAGCAAAGGAACGAGTAGCGCAAAATGGCGGCTGCTGCTGCTTTAGCACCAGCCACTCCTCTCCGTTTCAAACCCTACTCTACCCTCCGATTCCTTTCCTTCTATTCCAAAAACCTAACAACTCCCCGCCTTTCCCCGCCACTTCCTCGCCGACCATTCCAGTTCCACTCAACCATTCCTCGGAAACGATGCTTCTGCTCCGTTGTTTCTGCAACGCTACAGTCCGGAGAAAGGACAAAAATGGAATTCCAGGAAAAGAAAGTTGGTGAAATGGGGAATACAGTAGGCGAGTTTAGGAAGAAGTTGAAAATCGCCGACATAAAAGGAGGACCCGATGAAGGTTTGGATCGGGTCGGGCAGACTCTGGTGGTTATGGGTTGGGTACGGACTCTCCGGGTTCAAAGCAGCGTTACATTCCTTGAGGTAACACTCATTTTTTAGAGCCTTTTTTTTTTTCAATTTATTCATGTTAATGTTGCTATTAAATTTTATAGGTAAATGATGGATCATGCCTTTCAAACATGCAATGCGTGATGAATTCGGATGCTGAAGGTTATGATCAGGTACCGCCGGGCCGAAATATTTAATCTTTCTTATCGATGAAATTGATTTTTTAAAATTCTTGCTTTTTCATTTCAGTATTGATGTTTTAGTTTCTTAAAGATATTATTAATTGGTTACAGTTTCTTAGCACTATTTTAGTAGTATGGGTTGGTTAGGATGGGCGCTTCATTCCTATTCCATTCAATTTCCTTTGCCAAAAGTGGAAATTTTCAATTTATGTTTGTACTTGGGATATCTTTATTGTTATTCTTTTGATATGGTTGCCAATTATTATATGTTTCAAGCTTGTAGGTGGAATCTGGGTTGATTGCTACTGGTGCATCTATATGGGTACAAGGGACTTTGGTGGCTAGCCAAGGAGCAAAGCAGAAAGTGGAATTGAAGGTTGACAAAGTTGTGGTGGTATGGTAGACTTCCCTGTATCTCTTGTCAAATTTGATTATTGATATGTCAGAGTTCATCCATCTAATTTGCCATGACAATTAACTCAAGTGGTCTGCATCTGCAAACTGCCAACGTTGCTTTTGTGGAATCAGAAAATTATTAGTATTATTTTTGGACTTAAACTAAGGAAGTTTTTAAGCTAATAAATTTTCACTCATCATACCGCCTAATACATTGCTACTTGCTGATTCCTCTCCTCTTTTATCCTAAATTGGTTTTCCTTGCAATCCTTTTCCTTGACTAGGCTTTCAGAAATGGAGTAATGGACAATGAATGTGTTATATTGCATTGATATTACTGCATTTTCCTCTCTTGGGTCATTAAATGAAACTTCTTTACCTATTATGAGATGGAAATTTAAATTTCTAGTGGAATCTTCGTACTAATTGCATGCATCATTTTTTGTCAGGTTGGACAAAGTGATCCTTCCTATCCCATTCAAAAGAAAAGGGTCAGCCGAGAATTTTTGAGAACTAAAGCTCATCTTCGTCCTAGAACAAACACATTTGGTGCGGTATGGTTCTGCTGCTTGTTTACTATCATCTCTAGTTGCTATTATATTCATTTACTTTTACTATTGTGCCATAATTTTTGCAAGCCATTGTTGCTTTCTTGATGTGGGTTTCTTTTCCTGTGACTATATAGTATTTTATCTCTCCTTTCTCGTTTTCCATTATTGCAGTTGTAACTTTTGCTTACTATTTGCTGAGCGGTTTGCTTATAACTTCCTTTTAGGTTGCACGAGTGAGAAATGCTTTGGCTTATGCAACGCATAAATTTTTCCAGGAAAATGGTTTTGTGTGGATCTCAAGTCCTATCATTACGGCTTCAGATTGTGAAGGAGCTGGTGAACAGTTCTGTGTTACTACTTTGGTATGAACAATAACTTTTAAAGGATTTAGGTTTCTTTCCCTAATAGCTACTTTGTTTTTCATTTTATGTTTTAACAGTTAAAATTTAATCGACAATTCCACTTTACTTTAAACAACTTTCTATGTGTAAAAGTATGCTGCTAAAAAGAATGTAATGGTTCAAGTAAAAACTTATTAGCAAATATGGTACAATTTTGCTATAGCTTTTCAGTTATCTTTATTTATGATCCATAAAGTTTTTCTTAATTAATAGATTCCAAGCTCCAGGGAAGCCACCGATTCTCCTGTGCGAGCCATTCCAAATACAAAGGATGGATTAATTGATTGGTCGCAGGTGAGTTAGATTTGCTTCGCTCTGTTTCCAATGCTACTACATAGAGTTGCCTTCCAGCAAAATGTTTAAGAACTATATCTAATCCCTATTGAAAATTTTTAACCTTTTATAATGAAAGAGTGCCTACTTTTTGCATTTCAAGGCTCTTCAATTTTTGGATTTATGTCTGAAATCTTGTGTGCAGTTTGCACCTCTCTCAAAAAATCAGTGATGTGTTTTGAATGCCACTAATGTAGTTCTTATGTCCTATTTTCATATGCCAGGATTTTTTTGGCAAACCAGCATTCTTGACAGTTTCAGGTCAACTTAATGCTGAAACATACGCAACTGCTCTTTCGGATGTATACTTCTTCTGCTTGTTCTCATATCAATTTAAAATGGGAAGGTAACCAATTCAAGAAATAACACAGTACTCTTTTACTTTGTCAGGTGTATACATTTGGACCCACCTTTCGAGCAGAAAATTCAAACACGTCTAGACACTTGGCTGAATTTTGGGTAAACATTGTTGATTTAGCCTTGTAAATTTATAACTTTCAATTTGACTCCACATCCTTTTTCCTAATTTTGTTAAGCCTTGCCTTACTAAACATTGTCTCTGAGAACTTGCTCCCCCTTTTTGTTTAGATGATTGAACCAGAACTGGCTTTTGCTGATCTGAATGATGACATGGGCTGTGCAACTGCATATCTCCAGTATGTAGTATGTTACTTTTCACATCTATTTGTGAATTTGTCTCATTGTTGCTAGACTATACAGTCAGACGCTCATAGCACACACACTGAAATTCTTTAGTGGTATCTTTCTCAGTGAATTTGGAGTAATATATACTGTTTTTTATGGAAGGTGAGACATGTGCTTGATAATTGCAAGGAAGACATGGAATTTTTCAACACTTGGATTGAGAAAGGGATCATTGATCGACTGAATGTATGAGCTCTTCGTGTATCTTACATTACCTTTTTCTATTATCTATCCAACCTTTTTTCTGAACTGAGCTGTTGGGGTGTTGCACATTAGTTGATCATCTAGATTTTGATTAACCCCTTCTATTGAGCTTAAAACCATTACTGGCAATGTTATATGTACTGATATGTGGGTGTCTTTTATTTGATGAACAGGATGTGGCTGAGAAAGACTTTGTGCAGTTGACATATACTGATGCAATTGAACTTCTTCTAAAAGCAAAAATGAAATTCGAATTTCCGGTATTGCATATTTCTTTTCTGTTCAAACCTATATAAAAACTTTTTCTTGTATCACCGTTTTTCTATTCATTTCTGATTAAATACCAAGATAACTCTTTCCTGCCATGAATATAACTTGCTTAGATTTGTGATTGTTAGCCAAACCTTTCAGGGATAATCCTTCCATAAGTTTGTCTGGATAGTTACGCCTATTGAAGATTTCTTACTTATGGTTTCTTTTGCAGGTGAAATGGGGATGTGATTTGCAAAGTGAGCATGAACGTTACATAACTGAAGAGGCATTTAATGGATGCCCTGTTATAATTAGGGATTATCCAAAGGCATGCAATTTGTCTCTCATCACTCTTCTGTATGTTGGGATTTTATCCGCTTTTAGTGTTTAATGCCTGAAGTTCTTTAATGTAAAATTCTCAGGAGATCAAGGCATTCTATATGCGGCAAAATGATGATGGGAAGACTGTAGCAGCGATGGATATGTTGGTACCTCGGGTAAATATTTCTTCATTTTATGTAATGTTGCCAACAAATTTGCTGTGAATCTTAAGTCCATTCTACTATCTCAGTATTGATGTATATTCGAATGGATAAGTTCAGCTGATGTACATGATGCTCCTTTTTTTTTTGATACAAACATATGTGATGCTCTTCTATAAGAATGTTATTCTAGTTATATCCTTTTCCTTGGTTGACAAGTTCATTGCAGTTACTTTTCTTGTTTATTAGGTTGGCGAGCTCATTGGTGGAAGCCAAAGAGAAGAACGACTTGAGTATCTGGAAAATCGTTTAGATGAGCTGAAACTTAATAAGGAGAGCTACTGGTGGTATCTTGATCTGCGTCGTTATGGTTCAGGTTAGGGATCTTCTCGCAAACTTGTACAATAGCTGCTGAGCCCTGAGAGCTGTTCAGTTTCAACTAATTGCTTTCCCTTCTTTTTCTTTCACTGCAATGTTGTCGTAGACTTTTGCCAATTAATTGCATTTACCATTATAAATCCTCTTTCAAATTTGTTCTTTGCCAGTTCCTCATGCGGGCTTTGGTCTTGGCTTTGAAAGACTTGTGCAGTTTGCCACTGGAATTGAGAATATAAGAGATACAATACCGTTCCCAAGGACGCCTGGTTCAGCTGAATTTTAGTGGTGCAACTAGTTTAGAATTTTTCTGGGTGTTTAAGCAGTTTTGAGATGCTTTCGATTCCTTTCACATTACAGTTACATACAAGAGACCTCATCTGTTCTGGTAGGGTGCGGAAGACTAGTTGGCTACCTTTTGCCCTATACTTTTGTAAAGAAATTAAAAAAAAAAAGAAGAAAAAGCTATGTTGTAATTTATAAGATTGAAAAACTGAAATTAATTTTGTTCTAAAATGAATTTGTAATAAAACTGAGGTATATAAGTGAATTCTCATGTTTAAAACTAATGCTTTGTTGGATTTTCCATATCGTACAATAAAAAGAAAAGGAAAATTGTGGCAGAATATTTACTTTTATCGTTCATGTTGAAGTCTGTTCCAAAAGGATAAAAGAAAAATACCAACAAAATGTTGTTGGGACTCAATTCCGAGAAATAACATTTAACAAGTAAAATTTTTACCATATTTTCCCTTATCCACTCTGTCTACCCCGAATCGCATCTTTCTCTCTGCCAAGCAGAAATCAACGGGAAAGAGGGAATAAGAAGTAACCAAAAATTGCAAGCCGACAAGTTTTCTCGCAAAAGCAATTAATGTAAATGAAAAGTTCGTTTTGAATTGAAAATTGCATTGCCTGAACACCAAGAGCATCATATTGTCTCATATCACGTTACTAGCAATACAAAAAGAGCAAACATCTTATTTTTGGAATTCAGTACACTATGCCTTTTCCCCTTGAGAATCCCTTTGCGGCTTTCTTGCATCTTTTACCTCAAGGGAATAATTTCTATTCTTCAACAAATGAACAAATGACTGTACAATGGTGTGCCTGCTCAGGCTTTTGCTGCTTATAGTAAAAAGAACAAAAAACAAAAAAAGAACAAAAATAACCCAGCTCCTTGAACCCTGGGACATACAGATGAAACCTAATAATACAGCTAAATAAGCAACTGAATATCAAAATACAATGCAGAAGGGGGTAAGGGGTCAAGAAGTTCAGCAAAAAAGAACATTTTTGGTTTCCATTTTAACAGAAACAGTTCCGGTGCAAGCTGCCATTTTGTCGTATATATGAAAGATGCAGGAGCAGGAATATCATGATTCTTGAGTACTATATCTGATTGCAGGAACAAAACTTGATATTTACATCTCGACAACTCTTGCTCAAAGTTCCACCTCATGTAGCTCATCCCCAAAACTACCATTCGTTGGACTGGGCATAAATGAAGATGGAGGCATTCCCAGTGCCTCCCCTAAAGGTCTGATTTCAGCCTTACCAGGTGGACTAAATGCATCAGCAAAGTTTCCACCACTCCATGAGGCTGTTCGTCGTGAGTGCGGTGGAAAACCATTGGCATTTCTCATAATGCCTTTCCGAGCAAGATTATCCATGCTAGGGAACCTTTGCATAGTCATTGATGATGAAGGTGTGGGAGATTGAAAAGACTCATTGGCATTGGATTTTGTAGGATTATTACTAGTTGTATTTTCTTCCTGTGCACTTTCTGATATTGCCTCCATCGTTTGTTCACTTGCTGATGCAGGCGCGGGAATAAAGAACTTTGCATTTGCAGCCACTGCAGGTTTAACAGAGGGAACACTAGGTGATTGAAATAAATTTGCTTGGCCCCCACCACCTTGGTTGAAAGTGTCCACATACCTGTCAAGAGTTCATAATGCCATAGAAAAGGGAAAATGAAATGAGAAGTATGAATATTATTCTCTTGGTTTCTGAAGGAACAAAAGAGAGCCAAACAAAGCTCAACTTCCAAACCAAAAAATTTTCAATAGTTTCACCAATGAACACTGATAGTGGTCTTGGAAATCTTATATCCTTATGAAAAGAAACTTTCATGGTCATATGAATCTTCTCCAAATTTCTTAAGTCTAACAAAATCCGATATTTTCCACCTAATCTTACTTTCAACTTTCTTTCCTTTTTATTCCTTTCTTCCACCAAGTTTGTTCAATCATCATTCAAATGCAACAGTGGAAATTTTAAATAAAAACAATTAAAAAAAAAACCTTCAACAGTACCTTGCTCGAACACCCATTCGTCCACGAGCTGAGAATTGATTGGAGCTAGCAGGAATAGGTGGGATCCCAGAAGCATGTTCTATTGGGGTTGGATTTCTGAATTTTGGGCTCCCATTAGGGGGAGACCCCTCACTCTTCAATGCAGACTTCAAGTTGTAGTCAGACATTCCATTCTGGAATGCTGCAGTGGTTGGAGGTGGCGGCAAGGCTGCTTCTTCAGCTGGAGGTTCAGCACCTTCCTCCACCCATCTCTTGAGCTTTTCATCATAGTAGAATTTGTTCTTTTCACCCAGTTTAGCCTTCAGATAACAATGCAAATTATATTAAATTAAATAGTTTGCATATCAAGACTGCTATATGTGGTTCTTCAACAGAAATCTAAGAAAAACTAGCAATAAACGAAGGAACTGAACTACCTGCTTATCTGCACGAGGCCTCAAGACTAGCCCCACAGTCTTCTGCAAAAGCTGAGAGCCAAAACCAAAACGAGCAAAGCGAGATGCCCCTCCCGAGCCCGATGCTTTGCCTTGTGCAGTGGATGCTCCAGCTTCCTTTGATGAATCAACCTGATCCCATCAAAAATCAGTAGCACCTCATTAATTTTATTCAAGATAAGATGCACAAGCAATTAGCAGGAAATATTGTTTTGTCAAGTGAAGATAATTGTGAACCTGTCTTGGAGTTCTGCCAAAGTCTGGCTCTGAAACACTTCTATTATGCATTGTCATTCTCCCATCAACCGCCCTGCCTGCCCAATCACTTATAGGTTCCATTGAGGCAGATGACATCAAAGAAGACATGGCCATTGTTGATTGACTAGATGATACCCTTGGCCCACTTTGTTGGTGAAACTGATCATTAACTTGAGAATTTCCATTTGATGCTGATGGTGCTGGTGGTGGTAGACCACCAACAACACGATGAGCAGTGCTATCAAAAAAGTTCAGCAATTTACCAACTAATTTTGCTGGAGCCAAATTTGCAGCATATCCACCCTTCAAGATGAAAGCAAGCCCAATATGATCAGAGAAAATATTGATGAGAAGCCAAACTGAGAAGCTAAAATGTTACCTGTTGATGGATTCTTATCCTGTCCTCAAGAGATAAAACTAATTGTTTCCAAGTTTCTACCTCAGGTGCTCGACCAGTTTTCAGAGATTTTAATACAGCTTGACAGTACCTGAACTAGCCTCCTCATGTTAGGAAATTGAAGGTAAAATATGTTCATAAATCAAACACTAACAACTTAAAAATGCTTACTTCAATGAATCTGAAACTCTTCCAACTTCAGCCAGCATGTGTGCATAAACAAGCTTGTATGGCTGAAATGGTAGCAGGATAAACTGAGAGTTTCCCAGTACCTTTGAATATTCATAAAACTCAGTCCTCTGTGAGAAAAATTGAACAGAAAAGGTTAAAGGCATAATTGACAGCTCAATATCTTAAAATGTTCTCTACAAAATAAAAATCTTTACCATCTGTGGACAGCTTAGATTTGTGCATTATATATAACCAGTTAGAAGAGAATTATGCTGAGAATGCAAACCACATTTCCTATTTAGGTTTCAACCAAATCATCTTGCTTGAAGATCAAATTTTCAATTACCTTTCCCTCAACAGAGAAAAAGCACTTTCAACTACATACTATAAATCGGTCACAATAAGAATTACCTAAACCATGGAATTACATGGTTCAGAACAAGTAAACATGCCAAAGTGACTACACCATGCTTGATAAATAGTTTTCCAAACTTCTATGAATTAGACAATGATGAGACAATGATTAAGGGTCACATAAATTTGAAGAGAACCTGGATTGCCTCTGGACTAGCGTAAGTTCGGGGAAACTTCCAGTGATCTGCTCCAATAAGACAAAGTCTAGCACTATCTGAATATGACTCAAAGTTTGCTTCCGCAACTAAGTAACAGATGTGCGCTGCAGTTATCTGAATTAAAACCCTCAAGTAAGAGCAATAGTTATAAACTTTAGGAATAAGTAAATAAGCTAGAGAGTGCCATCAACAACAAGGGAGAAACAGAAGCTAGAGTAAACAATAATGTACCTCACTTCTTTCCTTCCACAGGCAATCTCCAAGATGAATAATCACAAGCTCATCATCCTTGGTTCTGTTTGCAGTTATTACAGCCAAATTCTCTTCCCAATCATCAAGCATGCAATTAGCCCCTAACTGCCCACAAAAAAAGAGGGAGCGGGGGGATTCAGCTTTTTATGGCAAAAATATTCCTCTCAAAATAAAATCAAACATATGGACATCAAATGAGAAGTAACAAAATGATATATAACAGGGACAGTAGCTGAATCAAGCACAAGTTCTCCACAACAAAGGATTCTTCTCACCAAAAAAAATTGCACCATTCCCAAAAAATGGTGCATAGGATAGAAATATCAAAAGCATCTGAAATATAATCCCTTTATCTATGCCGTTTGCTCATAGATAAACCACTTCACACACTGCCATATTTTTTCTTATCTCTTACTAAGAAATCTACAACTACACCAGAAAATGATTAGACCATATTAGTTGTCTTAGTACAGTAACCATTTCAGTTGGCATTTTTCCTTCTTCCTAATAAATAACCTTTAGAATTGAATTTCCTACACCAATTTATCACCTGTGCATGCTGTTGAGACATATCCATGCCATCAACTGTGGTGCCTGTGGAAAAAACATCTGCCGGTTGCCCTGCAATTAGCAAGCATAATGTCCGCAAAGGAGACCCTGCTACCAGCTGATGAAGTGCCATTTGCTTCACAGTATCAACATAGAACTGCATTGATCCAAAGCCACCAACCGGAAGAAAAAGCAGAGAGAGAGAGAAAGAGATTGCAGCTTCAGTTAAAATTTTCCTCAAACAAGAAAATCAGAATAAGTCATAGGCAATAGCACAAAGCAGAAATGAACCTGATCACCCAATTGTGATGCGAGAACAAGTGCAGGTCCCCACAACTGACCTTCTTGTGCGCATTGTAGAGCCTCTTTCTTTCTACCAGAAACCAGAAGATTCTGTACCTCAGAAGCGGTTGCCTAGAACATAGATTAAAATTAATTAAGAAAATAAGATAAAACAGCCTGTAAAAAAAATAGTGCAGTGTAGTTAATGGCATACCCGAATTTGTCCTTCAGAAGGCAATTGCTGCAAGCAGTGGCTAAGAGCACCATAAGGTGTGTCATTCCTCTTCGCAGATGCAAAGAGTTTTGCAACTGCTGATTCTGGAGTATCAGTCTCCTATCAATAACAACATGCCAATAAGAATGAAATACAATATAACATGCAAGAAAAAAGAAGAGAAGATCAACAACAAATCTCATTTTACTTTGTTGAAACTGGGAAAAAAAAAACCTCAGAAGATTAGCTATTTCTTGAGTGGTCTGCTAGAAAAGCCTAAGACAATCCGATTGAAAAAAATCACAAGAGAAGCATCCTCCCAAGATATAACTACAGGCTAACAAATGAAAATCTAAGGAAATTGAAAACTCCTAGTTAATAAAATATAAGTTAAAATGACAATAAAAGTATTTACCTTCAATACAGTGTCAGCACCAAAAGGAGACCGGAGTTTTCCATAATGCTGGCAAGCTATTTTAAGCAATGAGAGAAGCAGCCTCAAAACTTCACCCTTTTTGTAGTCCATGTCAGGTGATTCACAGTTGGCAATTCTGTCATCAATCCACTTGTTCAGCTCTCTACTGCCTGCATTTCCACCAGCCAATGGACCAGGAAAGGATTGTTGGCACAGAGTACGGAAATAATCAGAAGCTGACAGTGAGGTACCAGAACCATTTGAGTTTCCATTGACAACTTCCAACAAATTGAGAACGGTGATAGAGGCTCCTACAGAATCCTTCACACAAACACAACCATACAATATTAGCATTTAGAAAGTAGAAAATTACAGCAAGAGCTATTCTTGTTTGGTATTTAATATCAAGATATTTTCTTTTCTGGAAACTAAAATAACAGACAACCTCAGACAATCTATTTCTTACATTCATCAGCTTCTGCCAAAAAATGTAGAGTTTTCAAAATATAGCATTAAGTACTCTAACCTGGCTACTAAATGACGAGTTCAGTAGAGGACTACTATCTTTCATTACTATCAGTTTTCCACCAAAACCAAAAGTAACAAGTGCATGTGGAGGACGCCCAGCTGATGATCTCCCTGTGTTGGAAGCATAAGAAAACTGCTGGCTACTCTGAAGCGGTTCCTTGGCAACATTGGCAGAGTTCTGGCTTCCATAGAAATCATTCAAGAAATGCATCTGCTCGCTTTGCTTTAAATTTGTCTGATTAAACTGGTGATTGAAGTTTTCACTAGGGACAAAACTTCTAAACCCAACAACTCCATTGACCTCAGTATGAGCCTGACTAGCTTTATTAAGCAACTGAACTTCCTGCAGAGAATTATAGGATGACTTCAAATGATTTACGTGGCTGTTCACAGACATATTCGAACCAAAAGATGCATCCAATTGCTGGTTTCCAGCAAAACTTGAAACTGCCTCAGTTTTGGCAACAGTCCCTGGTTGCCACATGTTCAAACCCTGGTTATAATTACTGTAGGAGTCACCCCAATTACCATGTTCACCAGAGCTTCCAAGACCTTGTGACCCATAATTATCTCCTTGTCCATATTCACCGTAAACACCAGAACAGTTACTTTGAGAATGCCCACCAGCAGAAACAAATCCATTTTGATTTTGCTGATCATGACCTTGAACCGTTGACTGAAGAGATGATCGAACAGAGGCATTATAGCTCTCCAATGTCCGCCATTCTTGAGCAACTGTGTCATAATACCAACCAGGGTATTGAGGGTCAAAAACCATATGTTCCGGGTACCCATTATTCACTTGTGAAACCTGATTTGAATTTGTCACACTCTCCGTGGCACCACTCTCTGCAGTTGCCATAGTCCCTGCAACAGACTGAACTGCCTGCTGCCAAAAGAAACCCTGCTTTCACATCCGTGGTCCCACTGCCATCACACCTGAACTCTCATAACTCCCTAGAAGGTTCCCCTCATAACCATCCACCTGATACCACTGCCCTGTATTAGCATCATACTTCCATCCTGGATACATATTCTTCCAGTACTGACTGCTATTCAAATCTTGCTCATTTCCATTATCTACGGTAGAAGCTCCATAAACTTGCCCGCCATCATGATACTGCCCAACTACTAACAGAATTCTGATCAATACACCCGTTTTCGCATTTTCATCCACTTCACCAGGGAAATCTCCAGTGGGATTCTCCCCTAAATCATTGAAAAATTCGGAATATGACCCAAATCCATTCACCCCATTCTCGTCAGAATCCGCATAAAACGAATTCCACCCTACTTCCTTAACCCCAGAATTCATAGATCCATTGTTCTTACTTATATTCGGATCAAATCCAACCTCTGAGCCGGCCCCTACTTCTTGATGATTTTTCGAGTCAATCACGCTATTTCAAGACCTAATGAATCACTACCGTCTTCACCTGCGTGTGCATTGGCCGGTGCTGGACCTGCATCCACAGGATCTTTTTCCTTTTCATCGTAATTGTCAGCCTCGCCGCCGGAATCTTCGCCGATTGCTAAATTGGCGAAGGCTCTGGCGTCGTCGGACTCGTTACCCTCCGTGAATTTAGGGGCAGTGGGACCCATGTTGTCATCATCATCATCGTCATTAACTAACTTGTCAAAGAAATCTTCATCCGTCTGATCCTCCACCTGGAATGGAGGATTCGAACCATCGACCAAAGGAAACAAAAAAGAAAGCCCTAACGATCTAATAACAAAAAAAATGCTTTACTCTAAGTTACTCTCGAAATTTTCACGAAAAGTAAATTAATTAAGAAAGATCTTCGGAATTCGAGCTGAAACTGTCACGCGGACATCGAGATCCAACCTGTAAATGCCCGAATCAGATGAAATACAGGAACCGAACGAGCAAGATCTAGGGTTTTTGAGATCTCTGCAATCCTAAGAACATAAATTCAGGTGAAATTAAAGAAAAAAACGAAAAATAACTGACAACTTGAGGCAAAAACTTAACCCGTTAGATTGAAATGAATAAGATAAATCACAATGGAAATAGAAATAGAAAATACTTACAGATTTAGGTGAAAGTTTGCAGAGAGAAAATTTTGAAGAGAGGATAGAGAGAGAGAGTTCGATTTCGCACCAGCCACCCAACAAGAGAGAGAAAAGAGAGAACGAGGGAGCTTTGTTTTTGTTATTTTAGTTTTATGTTTAATCCTTTTTTTATTATTTTCTATTTCTCCTGAATTTTGTATTTCTTTATTTAATTTTACCGCCAGATATATGCTTCCACTCAATTTTCCTTTTTGTGTTAATTAATTAGTACTACTAATTTTGCTAATACCGTAAAAACGAAAGTTTAAACTTTTAATAGTTAATAATCTCAACTTAATTAACTAAAAAAAGGTTCTAAGTAAAAATTATTACGCAAGATGTGATCATGCACCATTTTCGTCACAGCTTGAAAGAAAACAAAGTTTTTGCATTGAGACTGCACTTTCAAGTATATCATTCTCCTTAGACCTCGATTAAAAATTTTTTAAAAAAAAATCGATTTTTTGCATTTTTTTTCCAATAAGAAATCATTAAATTGGATCTAAAATTTCGATCCAAACAATCTTTGCTTGTCTTGAATTTGTTTATTTGTGGCATGCCTATTTCATAATAGTATGTACATAAGATTTGAATCTAAACCCCAAACTCTTAATTTGTCAAACCTCCTAAATGCCATTTTAGATCGCGTCAACTCGGCAAGCCAAGGTTTCCCATTTGGCACAGCTTGATTCACCAATGATGTGAGAGTAATAGCCTCATTGGCTTATTCAGATTCTTACTTTTCTTGTTTGGGGCGGCAAAGTCTTTAGCAATTTCGCACTGTAATCACAGTAATCTGTTGGGTTGAAGGCTTAGGTCACAAACCTTTGTTTAAAATACTTTATTTGGACCATAAGCTTTCAATTTGAACGGTAGTTATGGTAAATAATAATACAATTAAATTTTAAAAAAGAAAGATAAACATATATGTCATTAATGAATGACAGTTTAATCTGGGAAAAAAAATCAAAGAAAAGATAATTTCATAAATTTAAAGCACTAACAATGATAACAAGTTTAACAAATGCTGTAATAATTAACACTTCTTTAAGACAGCTTTATTGTTAAAGAAAGAGATAGGTTGTGTGTAAGTAAAAAAACCGAATTAATTCAAATAGTAATGTAATAAAAGATAAGGTTGGATTTTTGGGTAGTAAAGTATGACAGGAAATATAAAAATTCTTGCAAATGTCAACACAATGTATACATCTTGATGTGGGACCTGTTGCCTAAGTAAGACAACTATGCAAAAGGCAAGCTAGAAGTACTTCAACTTTCCTGCATTGGTACCTTTGTTTTTTTTATTTTTTTGCCTGGATTTATCCAATTGTTCTGGTGCTAACCCAGACCGAATTGATGCATTTTCATGCCCTTAACCCGTACTCCAGTCAAAAAGGTAGTAGAAAATTGTCTTTCTCATGAATTTTTGGTGTTTTTCTCAGGACAATTTTCATGGGAAAATTCTTGCAATAAGTTAGTAGGGGAGAGAGAAGAGAAGCTAAGCCCGATCCTATTTCCCAGCCCTGTTTTCCGGACTAAATCTGGATTGCCCGTGAGCTTGTAATAAGAGGGCTTTGAACCTTTCCATGATTAATATGGGGCTCTAGCTTGGAAAGTTGGGCCTTTTGTGTCTTATATTTTTGGGTTCAACATTGGGAAGAATCTAGCTACGGTTTGAATACTTTGAAAATTTTGTTCGTAATTCCTCTTTGCCTAACTGGTCAGCACTGTAATTCACATAGACGCACCGAGAAATGTTCGACATTTAAAGCGGGGAAAAACAAAGTGATTACTAATAATACAAAAAATATTAATGAATTCTCAACTTTTGTTTCTCTTGCCTTGGAAGTGATTCAAGTTGACCTCAGCACTTCAACATCACATCACTTTTATAATTATGCATTTGCTCCGAAGGAGCTATCAACCAGCCATTGTTATAAGAGTATATTTGTACAATGGAGAAATAGTTTTACAATCAGAGCATTTTGAATATATCAAACTTTTGTCATGCATGGAATAAGTTAATGATCGGTTTCAGCAAAAAGGAAGAAGAAAAGAAAAGAATAGGTTAATGGGAACCTGGCAGTGGGTTCTAGATCGTGGAGAGTCCATAATCAACAAAATAATCAGGACTAATTGATTGATTGCTTAGTTACGTTCTTTCATGGTCTAATCATGAAGAATTATGTTGTCAGAAGCCTATCATTTGAAATTCAGCTGCCAGGATAAATTTCTATCATGCTTTCATTTGGAGAACACCACACAAAGTAGAATACAACAATTATTACTGCTTGCCATGCTTATCAACCAAAACAAATTTTTTAATACTTTTCTAGCCCTGCCCACTCCTTCAGGAGGGAAATCAGCTTTGCCTCGTACAAATGGTGTGTTATATTATATTATGCTATGAGTAACTATACTTTGTAAAAAAGCATCTTTTCTTGCTCTGTATTTCTTTATTTAATACCCCTTTCCATCCTCATTAAAAATGAAAGCCAGTTGGCAGCAGCCAAGTAATAACTTTTTGGAAATATCTGTTTTTACTTGGTTTGAAGCACTGGGTTCAAACTATCTTGCAACCATTTTTGTCAATGATTACCTAGCGACTATGGACTGTATCAGTCTGGTCCAATTTGTCAAGTTGAAGTCCTATTACTATCAAACAGATTAGGCCGTGCAGAAGGGCACGCCTATTTTTGAAGAAGCAGCCACTTCCATATAAGCCACGAGCTAGGCAACTGGGTTATTAACAACAAATAAAATACATGCATGCTCAACTCGCTTGTTCTTAGTCTTTCCTTTTCCATTTCAGTGGGATATAAGATAATCTCTTAGTTCATCCAGAGAGTTATATTTCTTGTCACTTGTACGTAAAGCTCATTAATTTAATTTAATTTCATCATTATCTGTTCTTATTAGACAATAATTATAGTTAAAGGAGTTGGAAAAGATTAAACTATCTAATTCAGGAGGCATAATTTAGTGGTAGTTAAGAAATAAGAAACAAAATTTGAATCTTATTTTTTAACAAAAAATCATATAGCAATAATTAAATCAAATATTAAACTATAGTCAAGAATCAACTTTAAATACTACAATCCAACAAAAATACATAATACAAAAACAAAAACTTAATAACGAAACGATTTCAAATTCATATTACGATTTCTCTTTAATTTTCAATGATCGATGAGCAAATAAAAGGCCGCTATGCTTACATCCACTTAATCTTCATTCATATACTTTGTCTGCAATATAATATTCCTTCTCAAGATTCCCAGCATCAAAATAATGATCCCGAATTTTGAAAGTCTAGATTGATCACTGCGTATAAAGGCATGCGTGGTTGTTTAGGTGGAAGGGAATAATGGGTGCTGGAGTTTCTAGTTCCTCAAGCCTCATATCTCCCCATGTGAAAGGCACTGTCCTGCTGGCAATGACGGCTAGTTCAGCCAAGTCTCTGTTGTAGCCTAAGATGTGGCTTGGAATCATGGCATCTGCGGCGTGAAACAAGGTTAAAATGCCATTTAAATTTTGGAGAGGGAAAAAAAAAAAGGAAATGGTGTGGAAGGATGCTGGTAAAGTTAGCAAAGACAAGACATGTTACTGAACGTGGCCATAATTTGTTGAAGAATAAATGGTGGGGATGGGGAAGTGTTCAGGGTTAAGTCACAACTCACAAAGCTTTGGCAGATCATAACCATGCAGATGCTTGGAATAGTCAGAACAGCCATAAAAATAAAAGCAAACACACCTCGGTGTGGACTTCCTTTCATAGGATCCGAAACATACTAAAATGGAACGAGGCTGCAAAGAAATTGTGAACATCTCCAAAAGCATGCAAAGCCCACATCAGTAGTTTGTTAGCTACTTTAACTTTGGCCACTTTTATACTTAATTCTGAAACCTTATCCTTCTATAACGATAACGTTAATGTAAACCATATGTTGAGTAATTAAATAAGCTTTTTTATTTTTACATGATTCTAAATGAACCGCAAAACATTAAATCGCCATTATTTCTCATCTTCATATGATGTATTCATGAGAACTAACGAGATGGAACTATTTAATAAACTTTGTACGACAACCACTTTTACTTACTGCATTCTTTTTTTTTTGCTTTTTCAAAAAATAATAAAAAAAGCAGCATAGTAGATCCCGTGGGGTCCACATACATTTCTACGAGAAAAAGATACATTAAGAAGTTGACCCAAAAGGTCTGCCACTTCATCCTTCAGTTCTCCCAGTTTTCATAAAGAGTGGCACAAGTCACGCTGAGCCAATTCTCAACATCAATTTACTAATTTGCCCTCTCATGTAGGATTCTATCCTCCCCTCTATGCCTCTTATAATTTCTTTTTTATCTTTTTCCTTAACTTCCTTTTCCAAAAAGTGCAATAAATTTTGGATGTTCCGATTGGGTTCGAGTTATTTTGAATTTTCGATCATTGGAATTTTGGTTAGTTTAACTTTAAATTTTTAATATAACCTTATGCGAGTTGAATTTCAATTATAATTTAATTTTGTAAAACTTTAATCTTTATTTGTTACATGATATGATATTATGAGATGTTTAATTATGTATGATTGAATATATGTTGTTAAATCAGTATGAATTCTCAGTAGTGTCACTCACTTCTCGTGGACATGGGATAGGAAAGTCGTCCTCCTTGCATTACTTTCATGAGTAGGAATTTATCTTCTGATGCCCACAATACATAAAATTGATTCCTACCCCCACAAAATAATAATAATAATAATAAATGAGCCTTGAGGATAAATGAGGGGTCAAACTCAAACATGTAATTCGATTGAAGACGTTTTTTTGTTGTTTTAACTAGAGTTTGCCATATGCAACCAGCTCTTCTTGTCATTTTGTCAATTTCCAGAGATTTTTTTAATCTTCTATATATATCCGTACCGAAAATGGAATAAATTCCCCCCATTCCACAAACCATCTATATTTATGCCAACTTGAAGGGAATTTTTTTTGTGGTCTATTATTTTGAGATAAAAATAATTTTTCTTAGCTTTAAACCCCTTTTAAATTTTTTCAAAGAAAATAGTAATTTGATTAATGCTAAACTTTATCAAATTCATTAAATTAAATTTTAATTTTGTCCACCATTCCAACAATGGAATTTTCCGTCAGGCAAACGAAGGAACCAGTTCTGCGGAAACTTGCCGCGAAATTTGAAAAATTACGTGACGATGGTGATAAACCAAGGCTGTTGAGGATGCCACTGTAGTTATAATAGTTGCAGATTTCTTTAGTTTCATCATTTTATATTTCCATCATGAAAGAAATAGTATAAGATTAAAACATAGTCAAGTACTAATAAATGGCTCACAAATTCAACATTTTCTTGTATTATTTTGTCCTCAAAATCAAAATTCAACCTAAAAAATTATTATTATTATTATTTTACTAAGTAGATACAACTTCTAATCCACATATAGTTTGCTTAGCATAAATTAAGTGGGATCCTTTTGAAGCAAGAAATCACATGCATGCGTCAAAGAAAGGAACCTGAAAACCATTCTTTCTGTTGACCAAAATGTCCTTCGTATTTTTTCTAGTAATATTTAATAATCTTGGCTCTTTTAGGAAATGAGAAAATTTTTAAAAAAGAACCAGGGAAAAAGCATCGAACCAAAACGCATTTAATAAATCTGACTGATTCTTCGATGAGAATAGCATGGCTGATGGCACTTCCTTTTGCCCGGATATTTCGTTCATTTCAAGGTAGATAAAAATTTTACATTATCTTTTTATGCAGAAATTCAAGGGATTTTGGATCTCCCTCTGGTCAGTGGCAACATTCCAAAGATGGATATGCCAAGACCCAGACCGAGAACTGTAAAACTGAAGTTCCAGTGAGGTTATTTGAGTCAATTCGTGTAGAAGTTTCTGGTTTTTGTTCCTACCATTGATACTCCAAAATGGAGCAGAGAACAAAAGAGATGTAGAAAAAGAAGAACAAACCCCATAAAATAATTATTAAATATAGTTTATATAAAGGCATAAACAGTTTACAGAACAGCTGGAAAACAAGAAACAGGACATGCTAACAGAATTGAACACTTTGGTACTTGCAGAGACCAGTGCTTGGTCCACAAGCAACCAAACCCCAGAAAAACTGCTTTCATTTTTTTTTCGTTTCTCTGACATGGGGTACACTTGAAGTGAAACTTGATCCAAGTCATTGCTATCTGATACCTCAACGCGACAATGGCTGCTTCAGTTAATCAACTGTTTCAACAAACAGTAATGCCACTAATACCACGACAAAATCTTGAAAGAAGTGAAAATTGTACTTGAAGGGAGGAAAAAACACTAGTGGTAGGAGAGTTTAGAGTTTCAGTTTCAGTGCTAGCTAGATTGAATGAAGCTTGTAACAATTTTCAGCTTGTAAGTTTTAGCAATAACAGTTAACAAGTGTTGGAGACAAAACACTTGCGGAGAATTCAAGAAATGAATTGTGGGTCAGCAACAATGAAGAATAGAAAGAATACCAAAAGAGAAAAGTTACAAAAACATTCATGATTCATCTATGAATGAAGAAATATTAGCAACTACAGTAAAAAAATCAAGTTTGAAACAATGCATAGCAAATTGAATGTATAGCATCAGATCCACGTGAATTCCCATAACTGCTCGATAGCCCCATCATTCAATTTATGCATCTGATACCACACTAAACTCATCATCTTCGGATGGAGCAGGCAGGTTTAGATCTATCAACTTGTTGTCAAATTTAGTAGAATTTGCAGCAGCAGCATTTGATGAGGAAGCAGCAGCAAGCAAATGAGATCTCTTGTGACCGCCGAGCGCCTGTCCTGACCCAAACACTCTGTAACAAAATGGACACTGAAATGTCTTGTCGTTAGCAGCAACAACAGCAGCAGCAGCAACTTTACCTGCATTTTTGGTTTCACAGCAAACTCTTTTATGTTCATCCAATGTATCATAAGATCGAAATACTTTCTTGCAATTCCCGCATCGATACTTCCCACGAATCTTCTTGCTTAACTCACTCTTGTTGTTCAACTCGATCTCTTTTGATTCTTCCAACAACTCAACTGAATTTTGTTCTGCATTCTTTGTTTTCCAAACATCTCTTGAAAGCATCATAAGACACATAGCAACATCTTCTTCAGGAGAAGTATCAGAAACAGAACTCACCGGTTCTGGCTCGGTCGGTGACTCGACCAAACTGGGTTTTCTCAACAACTTTGGTTCCTTGATTTCGTCTGTTGTTATATTAGTACCCACCTTCCGGTTTCTCTTGGATCGTCTCCGAGTTGGGTTTCTTGACTCAGTCTCACTTTCTCTATCTTGGACAACGGACCCAGAATCTACTGCAAAGGAGAATTCAGGATCTGCAAACCTGAAACTCTTCCTGGGATTCTCTCTTAACCCGTAAACCAAAGATTTCTCTTCAACTACTTCTCTGCTTTTCTCTTCTTGTAGTTCTTGCTCTTCACCTGATGAAGCAGATGAAGAAGAAGCTGACTCAACACGGTCACCGAGTTGGTGCTGGGTCGTCTTGGGGGGCAGTGGATGGGTGGCTAAGTGACCTTTCATGTGACCTCCTAAAGCTCTGCCATTAGAGAAAGTTCGAGCACAGAGCTTGCATTTGTGCTTCTCCATTGCCACAAAACACAAGCAAAGCAAAGATCAAAGCTCTTTTTTTTCCAAGTGGCTTCTCTCTAAATCCCTCTTTTCTCTCGCTAAAAAGCACGAGAAAGCAATAGAAAGCAAGATTGGGAACTTAAAAGGAGTAGGTGACAAGCATTCCTCCACCAAAAGACACACAACCCAAAATTTTGATTTTCTTTTATTTTGTACAAAACATTTAAAATAAAATTTAAAAATTACTTGTAACATAGGAAAAGAGAAAAAATTAAAAAAAAAAAGAAAAAACGATAATGTTGTTAGTAGTATTTCTTAAAAATTGGGCAAATAAAAAAAAATGTATGATCATGGCCGGGGAGAGGCGGACAAGCAACATGCAAAATTTGCCCATTTGGGTAATAAACTTTTCTTTTTCACCACTTTCTGGAAGTCCATAAATTGCCAGTCAGGCAATTATACAACTTTTTGTTTGCTAATTCATTTCATTTATATTATGTGTAATTTGATGAATATAATGATATCTATACATGATTTTCGATATTTAAAAAAAAAAACACCTGACCCACTTAGCAAAGAAACTAACCCACTTTGAAAATTTTGCGCGGATCTTTTTTATTTTTGGTTGTTTGATCCATTAAACACATTTTGTTTATAGCACAATGCATGACTTAATTTGCATTGTTCATAATTTTGCACATTAAATTAACTATAGTGTATAATAATTGAATTAAAAAGTTGACTTAATCCATGAAGGGCTCTTTGGGAAAAATAATTAGTGTTATCTTTTGTCACAGTATTTGCTTAATTAATCTATACCATATGTTTGTTGTAAATTGAAGGCAACAATTTCACGCACGAAAACGGAGGCAAGTGCCCTGTCAAATCTCCAACTCGAATTTCTGCCCATTTATTAGTGACCTTATGGTTACTGTTCATAGAGGGTTCTTTGCCTTTTTCGCTGAGTCGCTTGTACAAGTCAATGAAAATGTTTGGTTTTGTTGCAGCGCCAGCGACGGAAATTAGCCATATGGGACCTGGATGATCAAACCACGTGCCACCAGAAGTGCCAAGCCAACCCTGCCACCTCATCATTTCTTTTTTATCTTCTTTTTCTTTTTTTTTAAAAAAAATTTCTCGACATTCACTTTTGTCAAATGACCTCTTGAACTAAGGTTAAATGAAATTAAGTATTACTATTAATTTAAAAATTTATCTCAAAAATGATTTTGGTACATGTCTTTCCACTTGTCACTTAATTTAAATGAACACATATTTTACAAGTGCTAGTTAGGAAAAAAAAAAAAGAGCCTTAGAGTAATTTTTTTCTTCTTTCTTCTTTTGTCTAATTAATAAAATCTCTAAGATTCTGTTACCTTTTGCGCCAATTTGGAAATGTAACAGCAGCTGGCAGGTGCTTTAAATGGATAATTCTCCAACGCTCCGGGCAAGGCGCGTGTGCTACAGACGCACGTAAATTATTCCAAACTCCGCAAAGTTTTATTTGACCTTTGACCCAAATTAGACTTTTCATACTTCATCTCATACGTGATTAGAGCAAGACAGCAAAAGCGGCTCATAGTATATTTTTATTTAACAAATACTGATATAGGGTTTTTCTTTGCTTCATTAATGGAATAAAAAAAGGAGAAAAATAAGTCGAATATCATACTGTATAAAAAGCCAAATTATTTGGACTAAAATTAATATTTAAAAGAAACCAAAATTCTACAATGTCTGAACGAATAAGAAAATCGAATTTAAACTTTTACCAAATATTATTACTACGAATCTTTTTTCTAACTTTATGGGAGAAAATGGGTGACGGTAAATGGCGGAGTCAAGATGATTTGGGACACGAAACACATAAATAGAAGTGGCTTAGCTTAGAATTTAGTGCAAAAGCTTCTTGTTGATGAGGCTTTTGAACACATCTCGAGGCATGTTTGCCCTTTTCAGATGGGCTCGGTGTCAAAGATACCACCCCCTAACGCTGTTTTTGCTCTGTATGCACTGTGCCAAGTAGGCCTTGTGTACTCCTCCAATTTGCTCCAGTAAACGTACAAACTTTAACTCTATTGAATGGAAAAATAATTACTGCTAAACCAAATTTAGATTATTTGGACAATCATTTCCAGTGTTTGAGAACCATGGCTATGACCGTGCTAGAACAGGTTTGGGATTTCAAGACACGGTCCTGTTAGAAGGCACGCGCAAGCAGTAAGATTGAAAAGGAATAAATTATGGAAAAAAAAAATCAAAGGAAATATTAAATTAAGATAAAAAAAAATTTCTGCTTCATTAAAAAATGTATTTCCATAGATAAAAACAACTAATCTTCAACTCTCTCAATCATAGCTTAAAATTTTAATGTGACTCTGACGGTAAGATATGGATTGAGTTGAGTCCGACTGGATTTTACGGTAGGTCGATTTTGGTCATCCACTTATCCCTAATCCAAATCGTTTAACTTAAGAAATTAACTGCCTTACCTCTTACCATTAAAATAACGCGAAAGAAACCCTATCATTTTTCTGTAAAACTTGCTAGAGTTGTCTTAAACGAATTATGACGTGTCTTCGTTCCAATGTGCACCGACAATTACGAGAAATGATCATTATCTGAGAAAATTCATAGAGAGGAGGGGAGGGTGTGTTTGCTTGTCTTGGTCAGAAGCTGTATGCTGGTTTCACGGCCTTTTTCTTTTCTTTTTGTCGTTAAACCAGAAAAGTAGTCAAATATGTGAAAAAAGAAGAGAAGGGACGTTGCTAAAAGGTCCAACTGATTGCATCCTTGATGCATGGTCAAATTTAGAGTTATTCACTTGGACTGATAATTCGTATTTAACCCTTGGAGCAACTTTATTTGAAAACTTTTTCATGATATTTAATTTAATTTATTTTTTATTCAATTATCAAACAAAAATACCTTGACTTCAATTGTCCACAATCTTTTATACATTGCTATTTGAACTTGATTTTTCTATTTCAATTGTTTCGGCATATATTTGCACTCATGATTCTTTAGCTTTGGTTAAAAAAAGAAAAGAAAAATCGAAAGAAAAGGGGTTTCTTGGGTTAAAAAAATGCATGTCAAACTATTCATGGATGGACTTGTGTCGGAGTCCAATAAACTGCTGGACAGGGAAAGCCCAAGAACACCACCATTAGTTCCTTAATCACCAAATCTTCCTGCTCTGGCCCCACTGACAACACCGCGCTCAAGTTTCATGCAACTCATGCAATTTTACTTTCGCCTTCAAATAAGGACAGTGCCTCGGCCTGTCCCTGTCAAGCGCAGTGCCACATTTTAAACACACACATAGTAAACATCTGATTAGATTTTTTCTTCTTTTTTTCCCATCCTATAGTAATAATATATGAAAGGGATGAAAGATTGGAACTTAGAATCATTAATTATCAATATAAAAAATAATGGCTCCGTTACAAGATTAAATGAGGCTTTAAATTACATTGATGTCAAACTCATAAACTATATTGACTAGGTCGGCAGGTAAGTAAATTCTCGAGAGAAATTCCCCAGAAAAATTACCGTGAATTGTTGTTTTTCCTTTTTTTTCACTATTAAAACTTTATAATGTAAATTATAAGACCCATGTTAATATATTTAATTAAATAAACTAACAACTTTATAATTTAGTATTAATATGCATGCATAGATTTAATTTTTTAACCTGAAGAAAATACATTTCTGTTCATTTTAGAGTGCATAATAATGCTATAATATGAGTATTAATTAACTTAGTGGTAATTTGCATAGTTTCCCAACATGTTACTAGGTGCTAATAATTCACTTAATGGTAAAATTTTGTATCTTGATACGAATCGCAAAAGGCCACTATTCATATACAGTGGATTCGTTTGAAAAAGGAAAAATAAACTGTAAGAATTAAAATGACATCTGGAAGGGTAAACAAATATTATAAAAATGGACCGTCACGGATTGGGCATGAGAAATGTGAGATTACATCAAAGTTGAAACTTGAAACCGCAATTAATGGAAAGTGAAGCAAAGCCAAGCAAGGGGCAAGCATCAAGCAAAGAATCTTTGCTGTAAATCGGGGTTTTTTTTCTAGCTGTATTAGTCACACGGGTCAATACTTTTCTTTCATTCTATAATAACAAGCAATTAAGTAAGAAACTCTAATTTACTGTTCATTTATTAGCTTCTTATCAATATATTAATACTAGTATTAATTAAGTAAAGTGGCCCTGTTAATTAATGCCCAAAATGAAGGACTTTGAATCATTAATCTTTCTCAATGTATTAGTTTATTTTATTATTTAAAAAAGGATTTAATTTATTTATTGTCATCACAATGCAAAATAAAAAAAATGGGTATTTTTAAAAATTTAACAATGAAATAAACCATACTCTTCAATAGAAGTTTTTTTTTTTTGGCCAATCAATATTTTATAGGTTGAAGATAAGTCAAATGAATTATTAATTTATTAGGAGCATTAGGTCCATCATAGCAGTGAAATAAATTATTAGCTTTTCTTAGTCCAGTCTCTCATTTTTATATAATTAAAAATTATTAATTTAATATGTACACAATCAATTAGTCAACAGAGGGATTTTTTTTATTAATCTAAAATGAAATCTTTAGAAAAGTAATTCTTTCATAGATAAAATTGTAAAAATAAGGTAAAAAACACAACACTCATTATTACAAGAAGAGAAATTTTATATTTTGAAATTATATATATCATCAAAGAGGTGAAACGGTTGATTTTATTTATGTTCTTTGCTTGAAATTTTGTCAAATATGAACAAGAAATGGCTTTGCAAGAGACATTCGACTCCTTCAATTTACGCATAAACCAATATTTGGAAATCTCAAGTAAGAAAAAAAAATGTTTACTATTACCAAAGAAAAGAATATGCATTAGAGCGAGAGAAAAAAGAAGCTTTTGGTATTGTCTCCATAAACCAGGCAAAAAGCAGAAGATGGTGTTGTCTGCATAACACTCTCTATCTTTACATTTCAGTCCAAAATAAAATTTCATTTTTTGAATGGTATATGTCGTGAGTTGCATCTTGCCAGTTGCTGGAGTATTGCATTTATAATTAAATTTCCCAAAAGGAAAAAACAATGGGCTCTCTTTAGTCTGGTCATACCCAATATCTTTATTGGTGATTTTAGATGACAAGACCTTAGAAGGGCTTGGGCTTATAGGGCGTGTCCTTGTCCATCCATCTGAGTTGCAGATATGGTGTGGTGAATTCAGAGTTGGAAGAGAGGAAGCAAAAGTAATCAAATCAAAAAAGAATGGTGAATGGAGAAGATCAAGGCGAAAAGCAAAAAGTTAAGATATAGAGTTAAAAGGATATGAATGGCATCGGCTTCATTCATGTCTCAGCATGATTTGATTAAGACAACCATATTTGAACAAAACCAAGATTTAATTAATTAGGCTGATGACTTGTACAGGTGTTTGCAATAGCCGGTAGTTTAGCCAATAAACGTGGAAATGTGTCCAGTCCAGGATGTTTCTTTATTGGTCGTAGGAAAGGGCATCATCCACAAAAGCGGGGGAAAAAAACAGAAGGCGTCTTTGAACAAAATCATTAGTGCTTTATACAGATACTCTGAATCTAGAATGACCAATAGGCCTAAATCCCGGTGGACTTGCAGCAGTCAGACCATCTTTGGACTCATTTTTTTGCTCCCAAACTAATTATCTCTTCCTCTTGAAATGATGACAATTTGTGTAAATTTATCCTAGTAGAATGCTCAAGTTGTTTCCACTTGTCTAGGCCTCATGGCCTGCTGCTACCCTCTACACAATCTAATCTGATTGAGATAATCAGAGATAATATTCTTTTGTTGAAGAAATTTCCGAAAAACTAATAACATTTGTCCAACTCTTCCCAAGCTACCTCTATCACCTTTACATAGAGTCAGAAAACTGTACAGGCTGCTGGTATATCAAGCTTCTGCAAAAACAGTTGAAATATAGGAATATTTACATTCTTAGCATTGAAAGCTCCAATCACACTTCATATGGCATTCATACCAGATATACTGGTCTGCGTCAATCATGTTTATGTGGAACTTGTGCACACATTAAACTTCCGAAATTAAAAAGTTTTCCCCGGATTTTTCATTTTTGTTAAATCTTTGATGAATTGGCCTAACTGAAACAAATTTACTTTCTAGCATAGGCCTGGTAACGATCAGTGTGCGAACTAAGTGGATAGCATGTTAACTTAATAGAGGCTTCTCTGGATCGAACTCACTTTCCAAGCCATTCCCATCCGAGAAAACTTCTTTTCCTTTAGCCCACAAGACGAAGTAGAGACCGGTGAACATGAGGAACATTCCAGCAAGGCTGCATCGAGAGAGTGATTTAATAGAATACTGAAGAAACTAGTTGGGATCTTACAAGCTAAATCGATGAATCCGTAGTTTACCTTCCTAATGAAATTGTCTCCCCTAATGTAACAAAAGAGAGAATGACTGAGATGACTGTTCCAATGGGGCTGAACATTGAGACAAGAACCGGTCCCCTCTTCCTCATTGCCCATCCGTTGAAGCTTACACATGCTCCGCCCACAGTACCTCCCTGCACATCCAAATTTTAATGAATAGATCAGTGAAAAGAGGCAGCATTCAGGGTCTTCAATGCATAATGGGTCTTACACTTCCTGGCCTTGAAAAAGCTGAAAATGTAAATCAAGAATTGATGTGCTTACTGGCATTTTCTAGCTTGTTTGAATATGCATTTGCATTTTGTTTTCTTCGAGTGAACGTTGTGTATTTTTTTTTTGTCTGTTACTACTTTACCATGTAACCATAATGGAAACGATTCTAGTTTCTTCTATTTCTTGATATCATAGTTTCATAAACTTGTTCAAACCCCAAAATTCTCAAGCAGCATGCAGTTCAGGAGGGCGCTACATTTGCATCTAGATTATGGTTGAATTCCTTAGCCATTTAGGGTATGAATAAGCAACTTCACAGTTACTTGGACTTGGAAAAGCAGTATTAGTTAACTTATATATATTTCATAGTATGTCAGATTATTCAAAAAAGGGACAGAGTTGCACACCAGTAGAGAAAAGGCGATTAGATCCTTTACGCTAACAAGGGGCCAACCCCATTTTAATTGATGATCTCCGACCAACTGCACCATTGCAGTTATAATCACTCCAATTAATGATGTTATGGCACACAAAGACATCGGAGCAGGAAAGTCACCCAAAGTTGTCGCCTGTAAAACACAACATCTTAGGGAAAGGGAAAAAAAAAAGGAAGAAATATTCAATACACTACCTCCCATATATTTTGTTTTTCCAGAGTACCTGCAAGACTACGTTGCTGGATAGAACCAATACCGCTGCCATGAGGTACATGCAACCGATGATTTTATTTTTGTCGAAAACGACATCGTCAGTCGGAGGAGCTATAATCCTTGCATCTTTTGATGAGACAGCGCTCTGCATTAAGCTCATTGTAAGGGCACCTACCACACACATCAATGTGCCTACAATCTTTACTTTACTGTATAGGCAACTTAGAGCAACTTTTTCTAACCTGCACCCGCATTGCAAGATTCATCATTGGGTTTTCCTTACTAATTTGATCATCCATCTACTTTATAAAAAGAAAAAAAAAGAAAGGCAAGATACTGAATATGACACCTGCAAGTCCAAGCAATTATGAAGATAAGGCCTGGAGCAAGGTTTGGCATGGCTGTTGCCATTGCTGGTGAAGTTAGATTAATCCCCTTGAGGAATAGGCATTGGAACAGAGTAACTCTGAAAGAAAGAGAACCAATATAAAATACTCTCTTACTGCTACTATGTCATCTTTTCATTCCTCATGCTTAGTTGTTTTCCTCTTTTTCAATTAGCACATCACCATGGTCTTCTGTTGTCATCGCATTTTGACTTCCAATTATCAAAAAGTGCAACAAGGCACAGTTGCTTAACTCACACACTAAATGAAGGTAGGTGGAGATTTTAAGCATAAATTTTAAGTTCAATCCTTATAATCTTTCTCATAAAATAAAGAGTCAAAAAGGAAGTGCAGTTTCCTTCTCCCGGAAAGGATTGTGATCAAAGAATTGTCTTCCAAATTATGTTACCAAATTGTATCATTTTTCTTTTACTTGGGAAAGTTTATTCATGATTGATGCAATATGCACTAAAAATTAAATTTCAATATCAATTTTTGGAGAGAAATATATAAAAAAAAGGGTAAAAGAAAGGAGGATTAAAGGACAATAATGATAGAAATTCAAATAAGAATAAAAAAGAAAGAGCGAAAGGCTTTCTATCTTAAATTTCCGAAAGGAAAAATGAAAATGAAAATTATCCTTACCCTCCGAAGGAGATCAAAACCAGCTGGGTTATAAACTTCAAGGTCAATTGTTTGGGCCATTTGCTCCTGCAAAATGAACATTAAACCTTCACAAAACTTTCATGGCTGAGCAACTTCGGAGTCTCCAGGAAGAAAAAAAATACAGAAAAGATGAAAGTGAACGCAGAAATTACCTTTCAAAATAAACAGCAAAAGGAGTGAGAATAATGAAGGTGGAAAGGGTGAAGAAAATAATAATGGTGAAAGGGCTGAGGCCAAGGGACATAAGATAAGCAAGTAAAAGTGAGTTCCCTGCATACACAAATTGCACCCCAACCAATCCTCCAATTATCGCCACATCTTCAAGGACATCTCTCTTGATGTACAGCAGCATCTTAGTTTCCCACACTTTCTTGCCTTCCAAACAGTACAAAACAAAAAGATGAAAGAACAGATATATAACCTTCTTCCTTCCCTCCAAAACAAACAGATGATCAAACTCTCTTCTTTTTCCCACTTCTTCCAACTTTTTCTTTCTTTCTTGTGCTTGCTTTACATGTCTGATCCTGGGCCTACATCAAATTCCTGACTTTGTTCTCTCAACTTTCGGTTTTGGGTCATGCAATCGTACCCAAAGGCAGCCATTTTCTTCTTTGTTCACTTTTTCTTTATTTGTTTTTATTGGTCATCGGTCTCTCCCTTTTGGACTTAGCTAACTTTAATGAGGCTTCTCCTACCAGTCTTTTCCAGATTATTCGCAAGAGGTTGGTATATACAAGGGGTGGATAGCTTTGTCTTTAACTGCTCTTCTCTTTCTCTCTTATTATAGCTTTGTTTATCACATAGAAAAATTTGGCTCCCTAGATTTTATCTCTTGTAATAATTCTGTTCTCTAAAACTCCCTGTTTAGATTTCGTTAACACCATTTTTGGAGCAGGCTTTCCGGGGTTCCTTAATAATCTTGACTAAATATTTGTCCAATTATCCCCCTCCACAAATCAAAATCAAAGCAAACTTGTCCAATCCATCTTAACTTAGTAACTAAACAGAGGCAAAGTGTACTAATTATCTGGAGCTTATTCTTGAAAAAGCTAAGAATAATTAAGCGAAAATAAAAACAAATGGGAGCTTTAAGGAATGCAAACAACAGAACTGCACGTGAAGTACACATGAGTTGAGCATTGATAAAAGTGAGGAAGAATATTTGAAGTTTGAAATTTGAAGGTGGGTTGCCACATGTTAGGCGTGACACAGCCACCGGTAGGATGACTTTGCCTACTAATAAGCAACCACTCCATAGCAATTACACGCAACAGCCCAAGTCTGTCTCCCAACGAGGCTTCCATGTGGCGCTGTCGCCCCTGAAATACTTAATTGCGCTGGTTATATTCTTCCAACGACAAATTGATTCCATTCATAAAATTATTTATTTTAATGTTAAACTATGATTATCTTGATACTATCTAATTAGAAAAATAAATTTTAATATTCATATCTTGAGTTAAAAATGAAATAATTTATGTATCCTAAATTAATTTTTATTAAATAATAGTAAGACAATTTCACTCTATAAAGATAGTTTAATTTAGTCATCTAAGTATTAATTCAATGGTAAAAAGAAGTTTTGCATTGTTGTCAAAGTCTCTTAACTCAAGTTGGGTAATAATCACATCTTCTAATATGGTTTTGATAATTAGAATATTTTACCTGCGAACTGCAAATCGCTGCAAAGGTTTCTGAATTAAAAAAAAAATTAAAATCTAAATCTTAGTGGAGCCTTGTCGCTATACGCTTAAATGCTAAGCAATCATCAATATCATATATGGATTCTCTTAGTACTTTATACTTTATAGGCACTTAGACGCAATTGCGTATAGATGTGTATTATATATTTTTTTAATTAAAAAAATAAAGATTCAAACTTTATTTTTTAAATAAAAAATAATATACTAATTAATAAATTAAATATTCAGATATATATAAATATTACATTTTCATATTGAATTGTTCGAGAAAAGAAAAAAAAATAAACAAAAATTTATATTTTATATATTTATTCTTTTATACATTATTAATGATTTAAATATTATTATTTTTTAATAAATAAATTTAAAATTTGATAAATTTTAAAAATAAATATATTTAATTTAAAAAAATTATCTTTTCATATTTATGAATTGACATTTTATGATGAAGAATAACGTACATTGATATTATATTAAATATAAAATTTTAAATTATTCATGTAAAATAATATTAATGTTCGTAAGCTTTTTCTTATGCTTTTTTTAAATTTTTTTTCTTCTGCTTAATATTTTTTTGTTTTGGAGAAAGATCTTAAGAAATCTTCCTTTTATACAATTAAAATCTTAAAGCTTTAAAACATCGAGAAAGAACTTCAACCATGAAAAAGTCGAAGAGAAAAATAGAATTCAGCGCCACATTTACAAAGCTATGCAAAGATCTCTGTTGAGGAAAGTCCAAAACTACCAGCCCAAGCAATGGCAGTCACATAATCTCCAATCGAATCACCTTATTAGCACAAATCTCCCCTCTCAAAACAACAATGCCAGCAACAACGTTCCAAAGCAAAATTTTGAAACTTGGCTTACTCTCATTTCAACCCTTGCCCAAGGTGGCACCGACATGGACCTTACCTTACATAAGGCTGCAAAACTTCTCCGCTCTGGGATTAAACCAAATGACTACTCCCTAGTTCACCTAGTTCGGGTCTCAACGGACCTGGGCTATGACTCTTATTGCCAACAGCTTCATTGCTACATTTTAAAATCTGGGTTTGTCTCCAATGTCTTTGTTTCTAATGCTTTGATGAGGTTTTATAGGAGAATTGACTTGCCATGTCAAGCAAATAAGCTATTTGTTGAAATTCCTCAACCGAGTGTCATTTCCTGGAACACTTTAATTTCTGGGTGTGTTCAATCTGGGCAGTTTCGTAAAGCTTTGGGGTTGTTTCTTGAGCTTCAAAGGTCTGATATTTGCAGCAATGAGTACTCGTTTACCGTGGCTTTAGCTGCTTGTGGTCAACTGGGGTTTTTGCATCTAGGCAAGTCAATTCACTCCAACATTTTGAAATTTGGCTTGGAATGTGGCATTATTGTTGGGAATTGCTTGATTGATACGTATGGGAAATGTGGGGCTGTGGATGATGCCGTTTTGGTGTTTCATAGCATGATTGATAAGGATGTTATTTCATGGAATTCAGTCTTAGCAGCGTGTGCTAGAAATGGAAAGCTTGAAGAAGCCTTCAGTTTTTGGCGCCAAATGCCTCTCCGTGATACAATATCTTACAATGAACTTATTAGTGGTATTGCTCAGTTTGGCAACATAAATGATGCAATTGATATTTTATTTAATATGCCGAACCCAAATTCATCTTCATGGACTTCAATAATGACAGGATATGTTAATAGAAATCGAGCACGGGAGGCTCTACAATTTTTCATTAAAATGCACTCTAATGAAGTTGAACTGGATGCGTTCTCGTTTTCAATAATTCTAAGTGGGATTGCAGGTCTCTCGGCTTTAACATGGGGAATGTTGATTCATTGTTGTACAATAAAGTGTGGTTTGGATACTTCTGTTGTTGTGGGAAGTGCTCTCATTGACATGTACTCAAAATGTGGGCAGGTTAAGAACACTGAGTCTATGTTTCAATCTTTACCTAAAAAGAATTTGGTAACCTGGAATGCTATGATCTCTGGTTATGCTCACAATGGTGATTCAACCAAAGTTATCCAGCTTTTTGAGCAGCTGAAAAGGGGAAGGGCTTTGAAACCTGATGCGATCACATTTCTTAATGTCTTAGCTGCATGTTCACATAACGAGACACCACTGCAAGAGGCGTATCAGTACTTTGAATCAATGATCAATGATTATGGTATTAAACCTACTGTTGAGCATTGTTGTTCTATGATTCGGCTACTGGGTCAAGGAGGAGAGATCTGGAGAGCCGAGAGAATGATATATGACCTGGGATTTGGGTCATGTGATGTGGTTTGGAGGGCTTTGCTTGGTGCTTGTGCAGTTTGCAAGGATTTGAAGGTCGCAAAGATTGCAGCTGCAAAAGTAATTGAATTGGCCGGTAGCAATGATTATGCTTATGTAATGATGTCTAACATTTTTGCACACTATCACAAATGGGCGGAGATGAGTGTAATGAGAAAGCTCATGAGAAATAAAAGAGTGATAAAAGAAGCTGGTTGTAGTTGGATTGAAATGGAAAATGTCAAGTTAAATTCATCTGCATAGAATTGGTTTTTAATTGCTGTTTGTGTTGTTCTCTGTTATCCTTGTTGTGGTTGTTTGATGCATTCCCTTGGGGTAGGGAGGATTGGCGGTGAATGGCAGACTTAGATGTCAACCAGGGAATCTACAAGCAAACTCTCTGAAACTTATCAACATAAATTCCCGAATTTGTTTTACATTTGCATCTTAATTTCAGGGTGGAGGAATTTCCGTATGCCTAAAATGAACCTAGTCATGTGATATCATATCCATAGAAAATTCTAAGGCAAAATTACCTGTGGGCTACATTATTACTTTAAAGAATCCAATTTTATCAGATAATTCTTTTTTAAAGTATTACAAAAGACAAAAATTACCATTCTGTGATGTTTATCGTTCAACCCGCATCAGAGCCTCGGCACTTTTCTACTTACAATACCTTATGACTTTTGAGAGACTAATATATTTGCTAATATATCCATGCCTCTATCCAGAGATAAATTATTATTAAATATTAATTATTATACTAATTAATCCGTCCGATACGAAGTACGGATGTCACATTAATTTTATATAAAATTTCAAATGAATTACTTTAAACATAAAATTTGATAAAAATCATCATTAAAATATTATATTTATCAATAGAGAAACATAAAAAAATGGACCTTTTTTAGGTATTATAATTTTGTCAAATTTGTTAGTCATCTAGCTCCCCCACGAATTTTGGTTATCCCTCGTTGCAGTTTCAGGATTATTTTTGCAGCACGATCCCTTTCTTCTGGATCATTTGAATTTAGTTTACCAGTCCAAAGGACTATTTGCTTCTCCATGCTTTGAATCTGTAACATGCAGTACTTTCAGTTAAAAAAAAAAAGAAGATGCAGAAATGTATATATATTACTGAGTCAGTACCTTCAGTTAAAAGAAGAAGAAGCAGAAATGTATATATATTACTGAGAAAAATAAAAAGAAATGTATATAATGAGGAGAAGAATCCAAGAAGAAAGCCATAGCTGATGAAGAGAAAACACCTTTCTATGGGGCCATCTTAACACGCCATATCTGCGGCATATCTTCTTCAATACAGTGACAGACAAGTCCAAGCTCCTGGCTGCCTCCTCAATAGGCAGATGGAAGTATTTTTCTATATCTTTCAAGGTTAGATTTCTGGTTCTCTCCCTCTGCATCACATCCCAAAGAGAGAATAACAAAGTCATTTAGGGTCTCAAGTTGGGAACCTCTATCAGAGTCGAAGACGGCCGCTAACGAACCTGTATTGACAGGGAGGGCTTAGGATGTTTCCCTCGGTTATTGCTGTTTCCTGGTTGGTCCATCCGGAACCCCCCTGCACAAAATTAAACAGTTCTACCAAACTGTTGATTGTATGACAGAAACGGAGGTGCAAAAAATGGGAAATCAAACAATCCCCATGGTCGGGATCGGGAGGAGATACCTGCATGTGACGAAGATGGTTGCATGAAGTCGCCATTTTTGAAATTTTCATCCCAAAGAAACCCCACGCATAAGGCCTCATAGAAACCTGAGAGTGGATCCTGAACGATGACGTATCCGGTTTGGCTTCGATGGAAGCAATACTGACTTAGAAACTGCTTCACATACTCAATGCTCTTTTTGCAGAAACTGTTTCAAAGTGTACCAAAATGAGTTTTGACAATTGGGTACACGTTATAATCAATGATTGAAGAAGAAACTTACTCGAACATTTGGTACTGATGGCCCGGAGCAACAGCATTAGTACTACCCGATCGATCAGTAAGAATAGCATGACAGATTATTCCAAGTCTTCCATGAATCTCAAGTTTCGTAACATTAATGCCTACCATTGTAAGAAAAAACGAAATGATATCGTCAAAAGAGCATGCAATCTTAATCACAAATTAAAAACAAGCCAACAATTGATACGACTGGAATTTGACACGAAAATGCACCATTAGTGTGAACGATTTCTCTTAGTACTTGGCAACAACTGCAACCAAATGGGACCGGTCCAATTGGCCAAACTGAAAGTGGCATTGAATTCTCAAAATTTAAACTTTCTGTTCCCATATTTGTTTCTGTTGGATTATTCATTCCCCCAGGGAGCCCCAAAAAACCCGCTTGAGAAGTCCCCGCATTATCCTCATTATAGAAATCCCAGATGACAGGATCATCTAAAGGATCAATACTATCATTAGCAATTTCCTCATTGGACGGATCATGAATTGAAAAGGCACTTAACATGGATATATCCTGAGTGGTTAAGTCCTCAACTTGATTTTCAAAGTCCAGAAAGTTAAAAATTGCATCCGGGTGCATGTCATTCGGATTATTATTGGGAACACTGGAATTTGGATCTTCCATGCCTGTAAAATGCTAGTGTTATTATTATTTTACTATCTCAATTTTGTGGAGGAAGACGTTGAACTTTGTCCTTCGGAGAGATATTGGCCTTGGTGGTGGCCCGCGAGTGGAAGCGCTGCTGCAAAGAGTGGAGTTTGATCGGGGCCTCAAGCCCCTACGAACGCCGCCGTAGGTGCTTGAGAATTGAGAGAGAGTGCGCAAATTGAAACTGAGAGGATTTGTCGTTTCAAATGTTACGTATTTATAGAAGAAGAAAGGCCGTTAACGACCGTTGTGACAAAGAAAACTGTCGGTGTTTTCCTTCAAAAGGCTGAGTTTGAATTTGTTTATGACATCTGTTTTACGGCTCAAGATTGGGCTTTGTCTTGGTCAGGAAAAGATGGGGCTTTTGTCTTTCTCAAAAACAGCATTGGCGTATGTCTATATGGGCCACCCCATAGCTAGGGAGGAATATCGGGAGGGTGCCCTGCTCGTTCCATAGCCCTGAGTTTTACCATCGTTCAGTATTATCTGTGTCTCAAGATTCCACAACCAATATAAACAATTTTAACTTGTGTAAAAGGTCTTTTACCTGCCTTTGGAGATGAAGGTTTTTACACATTGATTCCCTTTTTAAAAAAAAAAAATTATGCTAACGCAACAAAAACACATCTGCAGGGGGGATCAATCAAAAGGAAGCAAGTGCATTAAAAGGTGTAGAAGATCCTGATGCTTTAGTTTGTTAGGCATATACAAACGAGTCAAACAAGCCTACTGCATTTTTATTTAGAGAAAACAAATCTCATAACTTGTAAGAATCAAATCAGCTTCACTGCTGTTAAGGGTTCACGAGTATTCAAAGAAATGACAACCTTTTTCGAATAAAAATCTACTGGTACTAGCTGCTTCAGTCCATTTGAAAACTCCTCATCATAATCATGGTCTCTAACAAGTCACCTTGGAACTGCCAGACCAAACTCTAAGGCAACAGAGAATGCACTCAAATCAGAGACAGTTATTAGCAGAAACCATTCTGCAATGTTAAAATAAAAGATATAATAGCATTTCATCCCAATCAACAAACAAGTGCAGCAACTCAATCTCAACAAAATAAAGATTTTTAGAATGCCGTTAATAATATCTGGTTTTAAACTTATACAGCAGAAAGCTCATACGCCTTCCAGAAGGTGGTACAAAATTCTAAATGTAAGAACTCTTAAAAATGTCATTACACTTAGATCATCTAGAGTGGTTTCCCACATAGTTCAATGTCAAATGAAGAATAGATGACAGGGTCCACCTCCAAAAACAGCCACATGTCTCACGTACCATCAATTCCATCTGGGAAAAGGAGCAGTTATGTTACCATTGTGTTCTAGATCACTCATAAATGAATCACTCCAAGTGCAATAAAATGAAGTCAAAATGTTTGATTCCAAGAGGTGATTTGACCTTATCCTGACCTCTATTGTATTAATGCACAAATTTTTAGAATGCATTCACTAGGTCTATGTGTAACTACTCTTTGATGGGCTAACCATCCACCCTGATGTTTAAGCAGATAACTAAAAGAAGAATTTGACAAAAGAATGAAGCAATTGTAGGCACAAATCAGAAAGCTGGGTGGAAGGGGAGAGTGGGGTGGCAGAATTTATCATCTAAATTTTGATGATATATCTTTTCCTATATAACCTAAGCAAGTGACAGGAAGAAATCGATCCACACAATACACAAATGCCGGAATAAGATGGAATTTTCCAATCCCATAAGTACAAAGCAAAGCCATGTGTTATGTTTAATAGAGGCTTTTATTTGCGGCACCCACAAAGAAAGATTATAAAGAAGGGAACTAGTTTAGATTCTAAAATAAGAAATGTGAAAATAAGGCTTTATTTTGATATAATTAAATACTTTCAAGATCACTAAAAAAGCACTCATGTTTTCGTACTTGAGAATGAAGATGGGCCTGTCACTGTAAATTCCCACTTTATTTCTTTCAAGCATATTGAATTTATGTGCCTGCAGGAACCAAATATTCTGGTCAGATATTGTCAAGATACATGATTAAAGCACTGTTGGCCCCATTCCATAGCCCCTAATTTGTTTTACTCACAGAAGGCAAACTCAATGATCTGATGGTGTCTACAAGGTTGAGCACCGAAAGGTCTTAAATTCTACTTCTAATTAGCTATGTTCTCTAAAATTGGAAACTGACACCTGTAACCTCAACCAAATTTAATGTAACATCAAACTTATCTATCATAGAGTCTGAGATAAAAATCATTTGTGATATCCAAGCAGTTAAGAAATCAACTTTCTTCAAATTCAAGTAGCATACAAAGTAAATTTTGGAATCAGACCTTTCATTCATAAGCCTGCATCTTAAGCATATTTTCTTACAATCTTTGCAGTCTGCCTCTTGCCTCATAAGCCTCATCTAAAGACATGTTTTAAAATGTACATGACTCGCCTATCCAAAGCAAGGTGGGTGTATGACAAATACCCTTCAAGAAAAGTGTTTCTATGCCTAATTGGCTAATTCAATGAACAGCTATGAAGATACAAGTTATGCATTCTCTCCACAACTCTCTTTCTGCAAACTCATTATATTACTTGCTTGTCCTATATGTGCATGGACGACAGTCTACTGAAAAACTAAGCTTGATGAGAGCGATAGAGAGCAGGAGGGAGAGAGAGAGAAAGAGAGATATTGCTACGTGCTTCTTACTTCTAAAAAGAACGTGTTTTAAAGAAAAAAAAAACCAATTATTTTAAGAATTGAAAATAAAATTTGACATTCACGGAATCATTATTTTTGAATTGGTTTTACTTGGCTATCTGCTCATTTTAACCAATATGATCCTGCTCTTAGCCTCAAAGCTTTCTACTACAATTATAACACAGACATAAAGGTTAAAAACCATTCAGAATTTCCATGTTAACAACATCTTAAATCCCAAAACAACTGAACTAGGAAAAAGACTTAATCAATTTAAACAAAACATTCAACACCAAAACCAAAACCAAAGAAAAAGGTGAAAGAACAACAGATATATAATGTCATAATAATAGTATGAGAAGCAAAAAAAAAAAAGGAAAAAAAAGCTACTCACAATAAAAAAAAACAGATAAAACAGTACTAGAGGCCGGGATAGGTGCAGCAGAGTGTACCCTGAGAAAGTGCCCTGCAACTCCTCGATGTTGTGCTCAGGCACGACGTCATCCTTGACGCCGCCACTGCACTGTGCAGCGGCAACAGTGACTGCGCACATCCCAGCTCCGATGGACACCTGCCCTCAGCAAAAAAACTAAAACTTCAAACTTCAAAGAATAATAAAAAAGCGGCAATTCCCTATTTATAAACGAATAATTACAGGAAATACAGAGAAATATAATTTTGAAAACAGAAACAATTTTTTTTTTCTTTTTGTTGTACCTGGACAATGAGAAACGGCGAAGGGAAGGGATGGATTGGGAGGGGAGAGGTGGTCGAGTGGAGGAGGGAGAAGCGGCGGATCTGGACAGTAGGGATCTTGGACCGTTGGATCTGAAGGCGGATTTAATAGAGGACGATGATCTGCTGATGAATCTATTGCAAGTTGAAGCCATTAGAAAGAAAATTTCTTGACGGAGATAGAGAATTGAAAAACTTGTTAATAGAAATTGGAAACTTGGAAAATGCAACAATGCATAGGACAGGGTTTAGGGTTTTAGCATTACGGAGCAAGTATCTGATTTGGTCAAATGTTGGATCGGGTCGGGTAATCAATTGAAAGAATAATAGTGAAAAGCAGCCGTTAGAATTATGCTCTCCTCATATAAATTATATATCAATTAATAAATTAAATATTTAAATATATTTTTAAATATTATTTATTTAGAGATTTTACTTTTAAAATTTAATGTTATTAAAAAATGATATATGTTATGAAATATAACATAAAATAATAAGTATGAAAAAAATATATTAATAAAGTAAGATATATGTATTAATAAATTATTAATTTTATTATAATATTTTTGAGTTAGAAAAAGTTATATCTTATTAATAAATTTGTAATAAATAATATATTAAATCATATATTACTAATAAGATATATTAATACTTTGTTTGTAATAAAATATGATATTTCAGTATTAAGAAGCTTTTATCATTTTCAAGAGATTGTAAAGAGTTTTTTTTTATATCTAGTGACTTTACAACTATTGGTGAATTCAATATATATATTTTGTATAAAATCATTTTATCACTTTTATTATATAATTTAATTAATTGATAAAAATTTTATTTATCAAGTGTTCAATGTGAAGATTTAAATAAACGCTTGTTTTTTTTAAGTCTTTCATTTTAAAATTTTTAAGTAACATTATTTAAATTCTTTTTTTAAAAAACTTACAATTTTCTATAACTCTTCAAAAGTTTTAATAATATTAAGGTCATCAACATAAATAGTAATCATGATAAATTCATATTCAAATTTTCTTATAAAAACATATGGGCATGTAAGATCATTTTATAGATTTCTTTCAATAAATATTCACTAAAGCTATTTATTATGGCTACTATATCACGTGTCCAAATTGCATTTAATCCTTATAAATATTTATTTAATTTAATAAAATAAATTTTCTATGATTTCAAATTTTTTGCTT